ATCATGCAATACATTCCACCCTTAATACTCCCACGTCCTTGGTATTTTTCATCTTGGTTTCTCAACTTTTGGTGCTTTCCTGTTTTTGCATTGTGTTTGCTTTGCCTTTATCAGCAGCTTGTGTTTATTTTTTGTATATACTCGTACCACATCCATCCTGTGGACATACAATGATTAGAGCCTCTCTTCTCAGCATTCCCTGATATTTCTTCCCTAGAAATACTCCCTCGGAGGAATGTTTTTTTCTTTTTTTAAATCTGGGTTTGATTTAGAGGAGAGTTCACTGTATATCTTAGCTGTCAAATCCTGTCTTTCGTAACAGGAAGTGGGAAATAGTTTGTCGTTATAGTGTTTCACCTTTGTGGAATTGAAGTAAGCTGACGGATATTAATCACTTGCCGTGGGAAAACTGCACGGTCAGATATACTTTGAACTTTTCTTAGAAGTGTGTGAAGAGCGTGTGTGAATTATGCAAAAATAACATAAAACAGCCTTAAAAAAAAATATCTCCTGTTATTATTATTCACCTCAGAAACCTGAGAGGAATTCATGTAGATGTATTGTGGGCTTCAAGGTCAAACTTTGTGGAAGAGGAATTGTTTTCTGTTGCTACAGAATATGTATTTCCATGTTGAGTAATTCCTTGTGACACTCTGGGTGAGACATTTATTTCCAATGTGTGTATTTGCAATCCAGCTGTCAGTTAGTGGTGTAATACAAATAATAGTACTAAATTGAACTTTTGACTCAACTTACTAAAACGCTGCGTATGTGTTAAATACATGCAATATAACTAATTATATATGTATAAAGAATGGGATACATTTTTATGAAAAAGTCACATTAAATGACAACATTACTGACGAAGATTTAAGAATTACAGTATTTACAGCCCGACCGCAACAAATGCGCAGTAACGAGTGCGGATGTAACGGGTGCGCTCATTGGTTCATCCGCACAGTCATGAGACGACATCACGGCAGATTCTTCAGTTAACGTTAACGATATTATCTCCTAACGTAGGAAGACTTCAACATGAAACTCTACTGAAGTTAAATCATGGTTTGTTTGATTTGATGATTTTCTTCCAGCGGAATTGCTAAAAGGTTAACTCATGGATTAACTTTGCTAACGTTAGCTAACGTAATTTAAACTACCTTAAGTTTATGATAACATTAGCCAAACGGTTTAGGAAAAATACTGCTGTTGTGTTCATGTTCCTTTTCTATTTGTTTTATACAACTTTAAAAAAATATCCCGGCAAAGTTTTATTCATTTCAATAATTCAATGCTTCCCTACAGTAATACTTCAACAGTGCAATATGCTGGGTTTACATTTAATTTACGGTCAATTTGAAGAGAGCTCTTCCGCCTGCCGGTGTTTCACAATAAAAGCTTTTGACGGAAGGCTGGATGCAGACATTTATTGTGAAAGTGACAAAGAAAATAACTGTCAACTTAACTAGTCGACGTGTATTAGTATTACTAAACCTGAAATGTCTAAACACTGTATTTTTGTATATTTTTTTGCAGTAGAGATTGTTGACCGGGAAGTGACAGTTTCAGAGGTAATCGTGCATCTTATTCCTGCAGTTTATCGTGGATATGTTTTCAGCTATGGGACGCAGAACAAAGGTGAGTTGTGAACTTCTGAACCCATCATCACACGTTTTACAAGCAGTACAAATGAGTGTTGTGATAGTTTGTGTTTGACCCCCCCCGCCCCCAGTCCATCCGCGCTGGACTGTCCATCACTCACCTGGTGTCATTATTCCCCCTTTTCAGTTGTGTGTTTGTTCGCGCTCGCCTGTGTGCCTGGATTTGTGCGAGGTTAGGATTAACCTCGGCTCATGCTGATTGGAATGACGTCCAACACTGGCTCACTCACAGGCTGGAAGCCGCGTGTGTGTTTCGGGTCAGACAGAAAGAAGGAGGACACGGTGATTACAATTTACTGTCAACATGACGCCGACTGCGTCGCCTTTAATCTCTCACCTCACGTACACAAACGCACCCAATGAAGGTTTAGCAGACCGACTGCTCCGCTGTACCTGGCGCGGTGCCTTTTGGCCCGGCTGTAAATGGTTTACACAGGCGGCCCGGTGCTCGTGTAATCTCTCTCTCACACTTGCGCGCACACTTCACAATGTAAATAATCCACTTTGACAGTTTTTTAGAAACTTTTAGTAAAATAAATTATGCAGCATTCACCTCTTATTCCTCTTGTAAATATGCATCAAGGAGTCTTGGATTAGGGGCTGGAATCCTTTCCTAAAGCTCATTGCATGTGTGTGTGGTTGCGTCTTAAGCCAGGCGGAGCGGAGCAGGGCCTGCTGTTAGCCCAGGCATGTGTGATTTGGTTTAGAACGCGTCGATAGGCGTCGTGCTGGACACCGGATGACCGGTTAACGGGCGCTTATTACTTGTATCACACCGGTTAACGGACGCTTCCAAGCTGAAAGAATACAACGGTAAGACCAAGTTTTGCTACACGTTGTTTTATTGCCAGCGGGTTCATTGTTCCAATCAGTTCTCGGGTTTGAATATGTAGTCGTAGGTATTTTTGTAAGCCGTGTATTAGGTGAGTGTCAGCCGGGGAGAGGTGAGAGGTGTTGTTGTTCGTGTGTGATTTTACTTTTTTCTTTTCAAAGATTCAAGATTCAAAGATTTTTATTGTCAGTTACACACGCCCTGTGTATTGAAAGTCTTGTGCTTGCCTTTCCTGAGTGCCGACTAATTTTAAAATTAAAATAAAAATACAATATTTACATAAATTTACATGAAATAAAAATAAAAAACAAAAATTTTGGTTGTTCGGCCTCGTCCGTGTTCTTTCCATAACCTCTAGTCTTTCAGTGTCCAACTGATTGTAATATATTTCCTATTGTAGAAACAAATTAGAACCCTTCCCAGATTTTGGTATGGCTTATTAGGGATAATTTTATTAAATTATTAGTGTTTCATTTGGATTGTTTGTATAGATACGCACAGATAAGCCAAATGGTTTTATAACCAGTTAACTAAATGTGAATGTGACTAAATCTGTTGTTGTATTGAATGAATAGTAAAGCAAAAAAGTTATAGAATTCTCCACTTGAATGTTGTGGAGGGGTTTTATGTATAAAGTATAGGAAGCTTTCTGTGGTACCATCCATCCATCCAGCCTGGTCTTTCTGCCCAGCCATTGTTGTGTAAGAGTGTGTGGTTGTAACTTATCTGGAAAGGGTTTGAAAGACTTATGATGGTATGAAAGCTCTGGAGAAACAGGTCAGACTGTTCACTTTAGCTCACAAAATGTGGGCACAGAGCCATTCCGCTTTCAAGAAACCCCCAAATAATAAACAAGCCATAACTCACAGATCAGGCCTGCGACCCCGTCCAAAATCCAAATGAAAATCTGGCCTCCTCTTAGATCGTTGGGGAATATTTCGGCTAATAATGCAGCTGAAGGTGAAAGTTGTCGACCACTAAAACAGCCCTGAGGCGAACAGGGTCCCCCCCCCCACACCTGCACGGGTCACGATATCGAGAAGAGCAACAACGTCTGAAGCTGCTAAACCACAGGTTACATAAACGAGCTCAAGTCCAACGCGCTCCACCCGTGTGCTGATGCGCCTTTGAGCCCCTTTTATTGGCTGCGGCGGCCACATGGCGTCGTTGATGAGGATGAGGAGTGGCTATTTTTAGCGCGTTTCAGAGTCGTGGGCCGCGGGGGCCGACGGGCCGGCAGAAGCAGCGTGGCCCTCAGCTGATAGTATTCACGTGCGCGGAGCTGTCCTTCAGGGGCACTTTGACGTGCATGCTCGGGACAGCCGCGTTGGATCTGATCTGGCACCCCCCCCCCCCCCCCCCCCCCAGGAGGGAGTTGCCAAAGCAGACTCCGATAAGCACGGCGTATTTACTCATCCATTGTCGGGAGCCGCGACTCGGGGGCAGATCTTCATGTGTTTTCACAACGTCTGGCTTTCCCCAAAAAAAGCTGGCGCGGAGCCCGAAGCTGTGAGGCGTCTCGCCGCGGAGGGTCACCTGATCTCTCTGGGATTTCAGACGCCCCGCCGCAGCCGCTTCACCTGCATCTTCACACGCGGGCGGGCGTAAAACCGCGGATCTATTACGGTGCAGATTAGATCCAGGAGCCTCTGCGGGCCCCTTGGTTCCCCCGGGGTCAGGGGGGTCGAGGCGTACGTCTTCGGCTCTCGCCGCTAAGGACCGGATCTGTGTTTACGCCTGAATAAATCACATCAGAGGAGAGCGGCGTCTCCACACGCCTAATCAGCGTTATAAAACATTATGGCCCCATTAGGGACTCTGGACTCACGCTGGAGCCTGAAGAGGCACCAGCGAGGAACTAGCTCTGCCAGACAGTTTAAACGCACACTCGCATGTTGGTTTAAACCTCTTGCCTTTTTTTTAAACCATCATTCGACCCAATAAATCAAATGCTTTAATTGAAAATACGTCCCGCTGACGCAGAGCAGGACTCCGGCGTCGTGTGCAAACGGGGGTCAAAGCGGCAGAAGTGTGATCCCTCCACAACAGATGTGCACGATGACTCAAGAACTTGCTTAATGACTTATGGAGAAAATGGAAAAAAAGGAGTGTGAGAACTGCAGCGTGTGTGTGTGTGTGCGCGCGTGCGTGACACACACACACACACACACAGCAGCACCCTGACACAGAGCCCCTCGTTGGCACACGGCCACTCGTAGGTACGACTTCTCCTTTCCTGCAGTGTGTGTGTGTGTGTGTGTGTGTGTGCGGTCTTGCACCTCCTTGTGCGTAAGGCCGTGTGTGTGTTCTTACTGTTTGTATCAAAGAAGCTTCAAAGCACGCATGTCTGCGCTTGCATAATGTGTCTCCAGTATCTTCCGTCTGAGCGCATGCATCCATCCCCGCATATGCCTGCGTGTGCGCGTGTGTGCGTGCGTGTGTGTGTGTGCGTGCGTGTGTGTGCGTGTGTGTGCGTGTGTGTGTGTGTGTGTGTGTGTGTGTGTGTGTGGTTGCAAGTCGGAGAGAGAGGGACAACAAGGGAGGGAGAGACACGAGCGAGGTTTCAGAGCTCCATGAGTCCTGATGTGCTGCTGCGCGCTGTTTCTCTGCCAAGTTCGTGCAGCTCCACATCGGAGGATTCTTTAAGTTTTCGGTAGAAGTTTCTGCTGCTGCTGTTTGCGGAGGTTCGCCGCTCGTCTCCTCTCTCACATCTCTGGAGGTAACGCAAGGTAACGCATTTCAGTCGGCTTGAAACACAGAATAATAATTAGTTTAAGTTTAAGTAGAGTTCACTGAGATAAGGAATGGCTTAAATCTGCGTTTCAAATTTCTGTATATATATATTTATCCTTAACACACGTAATCACTTTGTCAACTATGACTTTTTTTTTTTAATTACAATCATCATAGTTGAATGTTAAAAGATGAATTTATATATATATGTATGTTGAAAAAATGATATCCAGTAACTTTAAAGTTTCTTACATTGTGTAGAATTCATTTTTTTTTATGAATGCAACGTTGACTCTTTTTTATTTTTTTCTTTGCGTTTATTTAAATGATGTGTTGTTTGTTTTGGGGGTTTTCAGCCGGTGGTTCAGGTCGGATTTAGTATTCGTTGTTTGACTTTCTCCGCTGTATCGCGAGGCAGCGGACACGTTGCGCGCTTTGAAGATAAACGTGAGTAAAGTGTAGTTGAGAAGATAAAAGTTGATTCATTAACAGAAGGTCCAGTGCTTTTATTCTCAGGGTCCTTTCACGTAGAAATGCTCCGGTTTCATTCGCGTTTGAGCTCCTGACGCATCTGTAACGCGTCCGTTGGAAATGAAGTCATTGTTGTTTCATCAGCACATGGAAGTGTGTGTGAACGTGTTTATGTGGTCCGGTACACGAGCGGGTGGGACCACGTGCTTAATTAAGATAACGTGCAGATAACTGGCCTCTGCTACTAATGGAGCGATGGTCCATCTAATCCGCTTTCTGTTCGACCCATTTTGGTTTGTACCTGTGACATTTACTGCAGAAGAATTCACAACTACCGAGTACTGTACGTGTCATTCATGTGTTAAACACATATTTATATTTTTGCCAAGTATAAAACTTTTTTACTTTTTTCTGTTTTACAATGTAGGCTACTAACAACATGTATTTCCAAAATTGTGCTTTTTAAAGGCGCAAAACAGGAAAAAAAAGTACATATTCATTGAATATCACTTGATGTACTGATCTGGACAAATATGTAAAAGTACAATTCTACAACTGTTGTGTTTCATTTACATCTGGCCTATTAAGTATATATAAATTAGCTTTTAAATAAGAAATAAAGAACTTAAATTTGCTGCATTTGTCTAACTAACAAAAAAAATAATTAATAAACATTAAGTAATTAATCCTCAAAAAATAGATCATAGTTTAAAATAACATTTGCTCCTAATTGAAACCATACACAATGAATATAAGGCAGTAGGCTGGTTACACTATTTAAATGAGATCATTTCTCAGGACCTTCAAAAGCTGCTCATATTTCGAGACTCATCTGGTGTGTTCTGTGTTTCAGCGTCTCAGAGGACGAGCAGCTTGTGGAGAAGATCCAGGATTCCCGTAACGTCTTCGGGCCGGCCGCATCCTGTCATCTTTCCTCCTGTGCGCCCTCTGTCCTGACTCCTCCCCCTCATTCCGGCCCCAATCTCCTTTTAAAACAAATATTCAGATATTTGCATCTTCTTCTTTCATTCTTTCCACTCGGCTCTCCCGCGTCTCCTTTCCCTTACCGGTTGGGGGGACGATTCCATTTTCTAACTCCACTCCCCCTTCCAGCCCCTCGCTCCCCCTAATGGGCGCCACATCCGAAAGCAGCGCCACTTTCCCTCTCCACCCCTAACCGCCTCGCCAACGCCGACACCAACACCACCCAATGGAGACCACCGATATGATGCTGACGAGCATGTTGGCGATGGACAAAGGGGAGAACGAGGGGGAGGCGGGGAGGTGGGAGGAGGAGGAGGGGACGCAGCAGGAAAATGGCAGACCGATGCTGGCCGACGGCGTCGCTGAGAGAGGATCCAAGAGCCCGACCCCCGGCTCTGGACAGCAGGTGTCCAACGGCTTCAGCGCGTCCACCCCTCAGGGTCAGGGAGGGGCGGGGGGCGCCGCCCCCGAGCCCGGAGCGGGCGCTGCCGTCCCCTCGGCGCGGCCGCCGGGGGGCCTCAGGACTCTGGTGGTCCAACAAATCAGCTCGGAGAGGCCCAGAGAAACCTGGAGCAAGAAGATGGACTTCCTGCTCTCTGTGATCGGCTACGCGGTGGATCTGGGAAACGTCTGGCGCTTCCCCTACATCTGCTACCAGAACGGAGGAGGTGAGGGAGCTCAGAGATGTTGGAAGGAGAAACTGAAATTTTGCCTTTAAAAATAAATGCATTGGAAATTGAATCTGAAAAGCATATATTGAAGTTTAGATTATCGGTAAAAATCTTCTACTGTATATTCTTCTTCAGTAAATTCAGTTCTATTTAAATTGTGTTTACTTAGAGACACAATTAAGTCCTCCCTGCTGCCGGGAGAAAACTTGTCCAGGAAACTTTGAGTTCTATCCTGTGAGGTTGGGGGAGGTCATACTGGGGAGGTCATACTGGGGAGGTCATACTGGAAAGGTCATACTGGGGAGGTCATACTGGGGAGGTCATACTGGAAAGGTCATACTGGGGAGGTCATACTGGGGAGGTCATACTGGAGAGGTCATACTGGGGAGGTCATACTGGTGAACTATACTGTTGAGGTCATACTGGTGAACTTTACTGGGGAGGTCATACTGGTGAACTTTACTGGGGAGGTCATACTGGTGAACTATACTGTTGAGGTCATACTGGTGAACTTTACTGGGGAGGTCATACTGGTGAACTATACTGGGGAGGTCATACTGGTGAACTTTACTGGGGAGGTCATACTGGTGAACTATACTGGGGAGGTCATACTGGTGAACTTTACTGGGGAGGTCATACTGGTGAACTATACTGTTGAGGTCATACTGGTGAACTTTACTGGTGAGGTCATACTGGTGAACTACACTGGGGAGGTCATACTGGTGAACTATACTGGGGAGGTCATACTGGTGAACTATACTGGGGAGGTCATACTGGTGAACTATGTGTAAAACTGTGACTTCACCCACGAGACCGTTGAAACCAGAAGTCCGCGGTGACTTGTGAGCTCCGCCAGGTGGAGTTTGAGTTATCTACAGTCGCTCACTGAAGGTCCGCCTCCCGAAGCCGCCGCCGCCGCCCGCCATTCCCCCGGTGGAGTCGTCATTTTTCTTGTTTCTACCACTTTGGATCTAATCCAATAAACAAACCATCCAAACGTTCGCAGACCGGAGTTCTGTGAATCTGCACTCGATTGCTCTTCCTAAATGACCGGATGTGTTTCTCAGTTAACTGAAATTGAATTGCAGGAACTCAATTTGGATCGTGAGAACTGAAAGTGGAAGAAATGATAAACTTTCAGTGATTACCAAATACAGTTTCAGCAACTTGATTCAATTTCCAAAAAAATCTGTTTTAAGTTGATTGTTTTGTAGTTTTTCAATGGAGCAGTTCAAATTACACCATACAAATCAAAATCATGGCATCATTCTATGCAATTTTCCGTTTGAGCTGTATATATATATATATATATATATATTTATACAGTGTGTGTGCATTCAAGCTCAGATTCAGGTGCCACATAATTCTGCGAGCAGGTCTGCTTGTGTTACTACCAGGGTCTCCCTTTCCACTTTTATTGAATTTGCAATAATAAAATCTTTGCAATTTCCTGTGTTCTGTGCGCGTCTCCCGGAGCGAGGTGGAGATGGCGACCGGGAGACACTTGATAGAGGCGACCGTATTAATTGTGATTCTTATGAGAACACCTTGAGTCTCTTTCGCGGCGCTTAATAACCTGTCTACCAGGCAGCTGCTCAATCAGCCCTTATCTCTCCGTTCATGTCACAAAGAGACGCCGGGACCCACCCACGCACACAGAAACACAAACCTGCACATGAAACTAGTCGATACTCTGACAGAGGCAAATACGGAGAGAGACTCTCAAACTCTGCTCGGAGTTCAAAGCAGCTGCAGCTTCTAGTCCTCCATCACTTCATACTTTCCTCACCTCGCAGCCTGTCCGCCCGGAATCTGCACAAAAATGACCTTCCTACTGCGTGTTTCCCCACGTTAAATGGAGAGTCACACGGCCCGCAGCGTTGTTTTTGAATGGACCCGGGTCATGTAAATGATCAGGTACCTAAAGCCTTTAATGGGTTTTACTTGGTTCTCTGGTTATTGAGGTGTACAGGTGTGTGAACAAGTGGCATTCCTCAGGAGTGTGATTTATTTCATTTTTTTATTGTCTATTGTTAACTCATTCTCCTCTCCGCATCAATCCACAAGTAATCCTCCGCCCTCGTGTCTCCGCCCAGGGGCCTTTTTGCTGCCCTACCTGTTGATGGCCGTGTTCGGAGGGGTCCCGCTGTTCTACATGGAGCTGGCGCTGGGCCAGTTCCACCGCAGCGGCTGCATCTCCATCTGGAAACACATATGCCCCATCTTCAAAGGTAGGCAGAGCAGATGGGGGGGGTGGTGGGGGGACGAGTGGATGGCAATGGCTCGGATTAAAAAGGCAAGAGGGGGACATGAGAGAGCAGGGCTTACTAACAGGAAAATTGGCAGTAGGAGAACAAAGGAGGGAAAAAGGACGGTGTCGAGCCGTCGCCGAGGCCCGAGAGACAGCTCATTAAACCTCCCGGTCCTCCTCGGTACTGAGGTCTCTCTGAGTACTGAGTCTCCCTTGAAGAGCCTCCCCAGCCTCCTGTACATCTTATGAGATATGATGACTCTCTGTTATGCAAATCGTCACATTTCCATGCCAAATGCCAGATCTTCAGAAACGTGATAGTATGTTGGTGTTGGGAAATGTCACCCGCTCAACCCACAGCCACTTGAATTTGGCTTGAAAGCACCACTGATGTGTCTTCAGCAAGTGACTGACCGGTGCCACAGAAACTGGCACCGGTCAGTCGCTGGTGACGTCAAACCGATGATCAAGAACGTCGACGTTTTCTTCAGGCTTTGCTTTTTTTTTTTGCGCTAACGGCGGCTTCCTCCACTCGTCCAGGGATCGGCTTCGCCATCTGCATCATCGCCCTCTACATAGCCTTCTACTACAACACCATCATGGCCTGGGCCCTGTATTACCTGCTGTCGTCATTTCGGCCCACCCTGCCCTGGACCACCTGCACCAACAGCTGGAACACGGTCAACTGTAACCGCTACATGTCCACCGACCACAACGTGTCCTGGTCCAACTCCTCCACCTCCCCGGCCGAGGAGTTCTATACGTAAGTGCATGTAAGTCAGATGTAGAGGCGTAAGGTGGGGGGGGCGGTGGGCGGGGGGGGGGGTTGGAAAGGCATAATTCAGTCCAATCAGGAAAGACAACAGACGCGAGCCGGCGAGGATGCGGAAGCTTCACTTGATGGACTTTTGGCCCCTGTTGGATTCGATTTACGGGGATAGAGGTCTATAAATAGCTTGATTTGGAGCTCCACTTGGCGAGCCGCGGACTTCGCTCGGCAGCTTCTCGAGCTGTGCTCATCCACCGCATCAGTCCCACATGACCTCAGCGAGATAAAGCAGATAAGGTGCTTTAAATGTTCTTCAGCTGGGATGATGTTTGGACGCCAGGAAAGCCTCAGGCCAAATCCCAAAGTCTTTAGTGTTAAACACACCGCTGTGAGATGAGCAGGTGGAGGACGAGAGTTGAGGAGGCAGAAGGAACCAGCTGTTCAAAAAAGCTCTTTTGGGGACTATTGGAAGCTCAAACAGAGAGAGAGAGAGAGGAGAAAGTAGTGAGGCAGCACTTGTTGAATCTCCCCCAGAATAAAATTGTTGTTCTTATTAAAAAGAGAAAACTGTTTCTGACATTAAAAAAAAGCTTATATTATTCCATGTCTTCCAATCTTTGGCTGGCTGCTTTCCGAGGGATTAATTCAAATGATTAATTTCTTTCCCTCTTCCTTTGAGGGTGTAACATGAAACCTGAGCTGCGTCTTTATTACTCTCGACTGCTCTGGCACGCCGCTCTCCGCTGGCGGCGTCTTATCAGGCGCTCACTCCGCTGGGACGGATTCAGGGTTTATCCGTAGTTGACTTTTCCTAAAACAGGTTTTAAAGAACAAATTCCGCAACTCAGTCTGGCGCCAGAATTTCCTGTTTTTCACCATAAATCACGTCTGTTTTATTGTCCGAGCTCTGTGTGCTTAACCTGTGACCAGATGTTAACCTCACTCGTTCATTTCAGCCGCCTACTTTGTTATCCGTGTAATGTTTTTTTACCACTTTGGCTTGTGTAAACGTCTCAGAAGTCAGTCACGGCTCCCTCGTCTTTATTTAGACACCCTAGCGGTTCCCTTTAGGCGAACTTCCATCGCTGCTCATTTAATCAGAATGAATCATTTATATGTGCACATTACGTAATTGTTACGTTAATGTACACTCACCCTACCGCCCCCCCCCGGCCTGCCTCGTTTCCTCCACCCAGTCGCCAGGTGTTGCAGGTCCACCTCTCCCCAGGTCTGCACCAGCTGGGCTCTGTCAGCTGGCAGCTGGCCCTCTGCCTGCTCTTCATCTTCATCATCGTCTACTTCAGCATCTGGAAAGGAGTCAAGACGTCTGGAAAGGTAACCAAAAGGGCGCCTGCATGGCTGAGGGAGGTGGGGGGCGTGTGCCAGTTTAAATGGATGGATGGATGGATGGATTGGCGGAACCAAAGAGGCAGAGAAAATCATGGCTGTTCTGCTGGCGTCATCTGCCCCCCCCCCCACCTGTATCATGAATCAGCATCATGCATCACAGGATATCAGCTGCTATGACGACCCCTCAGTTCCCCTCTTTTCTGCATCAGGTGGTTTGGGTGACTGCTACCTTTCCCTACCTGGTCCTCCTGGTGCTGCTCGTCCGTGGGGCCACTCTGCCAGGGGCCTGGAGGGGCGTGGTCTTCTACCTCAAGCCTGACTGGCAGAAGCTTCTGAGCACTACGGTGAGTCGCTTGCCTTTAACTTTTCCCATCACCGTTATCTTGGTGGAAGCCCTTCATCTCAACGCACTCGGCTCCGCTCAGGTGTGGATCGACGCAGCGGCTCAGATCTTCTTCTCGTTGGGGCCGGGGTTCGGCGTGCTCCTCGCCTTTGCCAGCTACAACCCGTTTCACAACAACTGCTACAAGTGAGCGCTTTTCTTGAATGCACGTTTCACACCTCAATAAAACCACACCTTCCTTCAAAACTCAAATCAATCAGGACGATCGGCTCATGTAAACGTCTTCTCCCTTCATCTCAGAGATGCTCTGATCACCAGCTCTGTGAACTGCCTGACCAGCTTCCTGTCCGGCTTCGTCATCTTTACCGTGCTGGGCTACATGGCAGAGATGAGGCAGCAGGACGTGGATACTGTGGCCAAGGATGCTGGTAGAAACCAATGCCGAATCTGTAGTTCTTAACGACGACGCACCCTGGTTTAAAGAGATCTGAGGGTTTCGTAGCACACGCACCTAGCGAATGAAAGCGTGTGAGGATGTATTCATCTTTTAACCTGCCTCTCCTCCCCAGGTCCCAGTCTGCTGTTCATCATCTATGCAGAAGCCATAGCAAATATGCCTGCTGCTACCTTCTTCTCCATCATCTTCTTCCTCATGATCATTATGTTGGGTCTGGATAGCACGGTACGTTTGATTACTCCTTTGGCCTAAATGTTCTTGTTCTGTCCTCGCCTGTTCCTCGCTCCTCCTTCCTCTTATCTACCCGACTCCTGCTGTTGCCCCGGGGGGGGCTCTCGCGTGCTCTCTGGAACCCAGAAAACGGACGGGTTCATAATTTGCTTTGTCACATAGGCGCACGTCTTCTTCTATTTGCCTCGTTGTGCTCGTTGATCCATAGCGAGGTAGCCGGTGTTGTTTGTCCTCGCCGCCGCGGTTTGGATAACAGTCAGAAAAACAATGTGACAGGACGTCCCTATCGCTGTTGTGCGGCGATCTTGTCTCCGTGCGCCCGTGTTTGTCGGCTGTGAGGCGGCCAGCTGGAGAGGGCCGGCGAGGCTCTTATCACACACTGATAATCAGCCTGGAATCATTTTATGCCTGAGGTTATTACTACAGAGCGCGTCGCTGCGTTGGGACTCATTTCGGATGGGCTTCGAGCCACGGCGCCGGTGGGTTCGTCCCATCAGTGTGCTGCGGATCGTCAGAAGAGTGTCGCGTCGCTTTTTTCCGGATTGATTCGGACCAAAACGCCTGCGTCGCGACTCGTCGCTCTTAGGTTTCTGCAGAGAGAGGTTTTCTTCTCCGGCCTCCTCGATTCTCATTGTGCTCGGCCTGCTGTCTCCAGTTTGCCGGGTTGGAGGGGGTGATCACCGCCATGCTCGACGAGTTCCCTCACGTCCTGGCGAAGAGACGAGAGTGGTTCGTCTTAGGCCTGGTGTGCGTCTGCTTCCTCGGGGCTCTCTCCACGCTCACATATGTAAGTTAATAAGCACATTAAACACTGGCTACCATCCTGAAAACATCATACATAATCCCTCTAATACCATTCACAGATCTGTAATTCATCTCAATTAAGAATAGATGTATTGTGATTTCTGCTGCTAATAAGAAACACATCAAAAGTCTCTTGCTGCTGTATTTTAAGTAATGCGATGAACTGTAATGTGATTAAACCCCCCCCGCCGCCTCCCCCATGCTGTGTCAGGGAGGAGCGTTCGTGGTGAAGCTGTTTGAGGAGTACGCTACGGGCCCCGCGGTCATCACCGTGGTGCTGCTCGAGGTCATCGCCGTCTCCTGGTTCTACGGCAAGTTAGAGTGACGTCGAGTGTAGCGGCTAAAGTCGGTTGACACCGGTTTGGAAAGTTGTGGCCCTCTGACATTTGAGAGGGTGTATTGATTGTGTGTGTGTGTGTGTGTGTGTTTGTGTGTTCCAGGTACCAACCGGTTCTGTAATGACATCCATCTCATGCTTGGTTTCTACCCGGGGTTCTTCTGGAGGATCTGCTGGGTGGCCATCTGCCCCTGCTTCCTGCTGGTGAGGCCCACGTACACCATCTACACACCGAGGGCCGACAAGTGGCTCACTTGTGCATCCTGTGCAGGGTTGTCTCACCTTTTGATGCTTCTCCTCCCGTGTGCAGTTCATCATCATCAGCTTTCTGGCCTTCCCCCCGGAGGTCAGGCTGTTCGACTACCACTTCCCGCCGTGGACCACTGTCCTGGGCTACTGCATCGGGGTGTCTTCCTTCATCTGTGTGCCTGTTTACATGGTCTACTACTTGCTCTGTGCCAAGGGAACCTTCAAACAGGTACAGCGTCTCGCAGGAAGAACACCGTGAATGAGCAGAGCCTTTGTAAACTGCTGTGCAAAGCGTGGACTTTAGGGACTCGATGTCCAGTGCGTCTTCTATCTAGTTTCCCCCCCCATGAGTGCTTCCTTCGCCTTCGACCCACATCCCTGCCCGACCTTTGCTCTCTTGCTGAAGCCTCTCCAGCTTTTGCTTTCCTTTTCATGCACCGGCAGACTCGGCGCTCAGATATGTGCCTGGATATCGGTATCAAAGGGGGGAGGGAGGAGGAGGAGGAGGAGGGCGAAAGATTAAAGCCGAGCCGAAGCCAGGATAAAAAAAAAGCCATGACAACTTCCAGGCCTCAGAAAGGCCAAATTAGAGCAGACCAGGCTGTTTGGAATCGGAGGCCCCGTGCGTGAGAAACGAGGCGACGTCTATGAAACTTGGTCGTACGTTCCGAGCTTATATAATGAATAGTAACACAACGCGTGTCCGTCCCATTTACTCATTGGTGTTATTGTCAGAGGCTTTGTCGGAGGTTGACAGCAGGTAGGAGGCTGGTAGGCGGACAACAATGCCACTGATACACACTGTCAACACACGGGAGGCGCGTGTTTGTGTGTCGGTGTGGCTCACGGAGCCAGAAGAGGCCGAGCGACAGCGGAGCTCTGGGTTGTGCGTTTGGCGTCTGGAACATCTGCATCCTGTTCTTTCTCTCCCCCCGTTCTGAAACGTGGAGGCGAGGCAGTGGTCAATCACGCAGTAAACAGTAGTCAGTTATAAAGGGAGGGGGGGGGATCTGTGATATGTGAGCACGTGCATTAAAAAATATTAAGCTGATGGGTCCAATGGTAAATAATAACAACACAATCTCCTGTGGTTCACGCCTGGCAGGGAGGCAGGACGTACTGCACAAATTGATACACGTTAAATATCCTTTCGATATATATATTTTTTCATATGTCTTCAGCGAGATTGATGCTCCCGTATGTGAAGTCGATCGCGCTGCCGTCAGATCAGTGGACCAGGAAGATCACAACCTGCCTTTGTTTGTGTATCTCTTCTCCCAGCGGCTGCTAAAGAGCATCACTCCAGAGCCCAGCGGCAACCAACACGGACACCTCATCGTCACCAACGCAGTCTGACCCCACCCGGACCGGCACAGAGCGCCCTCTTCTGGACAGACTGCTAAGCTACAGGACAAGGGGCTACCGTTCACCGTCTTTGCCTCTTTTTCTTACATCGCACACTTGTTTTTAGCTGTCACACACACACACACACACACACTGAGGTCGAGAGTAGCGGTGGAGTTCGACACCCTCTTTTTTCTTTTTTAAGTCATTTTGTGACCGACCTTTCTTCAGGTTATGTAGTTGAAACAAATGTTTTATACAATAATAGAGTATTATTCTGTCTATGTTTGTGTAGACAATAAACTGCAGTTACTGAACTTTGAGGTCAGTCAAAGGAGGCCAAATGGTTACATTCCTCTCTGTCTTTATGGTTGCGTTTTCATATTATGCTGTTAAGTTGTGCATTTTAATATGTAGCTCTATTCAGGTATCTGTTACTGAAGCCAAATATATGATATCTGTTCTGTTCATGTTTCTAAAGATGTTTTCGCTGCCGTGTTGACTGTCAGCCTGTGCTTACCTGGAGGCGTCGCGGACAGCTGACAGATTTGCAATGACTTCCCTACACTGTGAAGCACTGTCTGTTAGTGACACCAATGTGTGTGTGTGTGTGTGTGTGTGTGTGTGTGCGCGTGCGTATGTGTGTCTGGAAAAAAAAGACTGTTATAATTCCCAGTGGGAAAAAGAGATCAGAGACACAACCAACCAAGTGTATTCGTCCCATTACTGCCATGTGAAACGTGTATTTATTTTCATTTGTCCTTTCTGACCTCCCACTCAGTGTGACACACATCGCGTGTGACGTCACATGTCACATGACGTTAATCACGGTCACATTCTGCATGACCGTCAGTCATAGAAACCAAATATGGATCAGAGCTAATAACATTATCGATGGCATAGTCTGAAAATCTGCATTACTGCTCTTTACTTTCTACCAAAAATGAATGTGTGTGTGCGTGCGTGTGTGCGTGTGTGCGTGTGTGTGTGCGTGTGTGTGCGTGTGTGTTTCTTAGAGTATGTAGGAGCAGGGGGTTAAAATATGGCGAGTACTGTACATCTACATGCGTATTTACTAGTCAGTTTGGTATTGTAGTAATCTATCCTGTGAATACCCGTCTCCTCTCCATGGATGTGTGTGTGTGTGTGTGTGTGTGTGTGTGTTTAGCTCTTGTGTGGGCTTGATTGTTGTGTGTGTGTGTGTGTGCACCTTGATGGTGTTGGTGCACGTATGGGTGGTTGTGAAAAAAAGAACCTTGAGTGTTCAGCCCCTTTATGTGTGCATGCTGTAATGCGTGTGTGTGTGTAAACTGTTCTTCAAATGTGTGTGTGTGTGTGTGCGTGTGTGTGTGTGTGTGCGTAATGTGTTCTCCTGTCTTGTTAACTGCCAAAATATGTAACGACGGAAGTAAACTCCCTCCTGCCTCTCTCTCTTGTACCTGTGGAGCTTATGTAAGATATGTGTATGTCAAAAGACTGTATTGAGAAATACACCTGTATAGAATAAAGATATATGAATATATGGGAAATAACAGATAATAAAGATATATGGAAATAAATTACCGCTGTTGATTCTTTTCTTTGTTCGTCGTGAAAGTGTTTTATTTTCTTGATGCTTACAAAAGTTGTCATGTTAATCTAATCTACGAGCACGAATTCACACAACGAACCAACAGAATACTTTTACCACATGTGTGTGTCTCGTACAGACCGACAGACACACACAGGTACACTTACACTACTGTCAAAGGATTGCGTTCTCTTCAGTAGTTACAGCAAACTAAAGAGAATAAACTAACAACAAACAAAACTCGTCACAGTAGGAATTAAAGTTGGATAATAATCAGCTGCAGAGCGATTTGTTTCATTCCTTCTTTGTCTTTTATAGGAGCTTCTTTATGATATAACCGTGTTTCATAACGAGGGGTGCGGCTCTGGAGGGAGGCCTGAACAAACATTGTCAATATCTTTCTTGCACGTGGAACTAAAGCTGCTACTTTCATTTTAAAAAAAGAGCTTTTTTTATCCATTCGTATAATCTTTCAAATCTCTTGTGTGTGTGTGTTTTTGTGGTCAAATAACCCTTTAAAAATCGTCCTTCTTGCCGGATGCTTCGGATGATCTGCAGGCCTGAAGGTGTTTTAATGAGCTGGTAAAACGCTGAGGTGTCATGTGACAAAGTGGGGCCCCCGCGGGGGGCTCCTTGTGGGGCTCCTCTGGGGGTTTGCGCGGGTCAAGGACTCGGTCGCGGGGGGGAGGGGGTTCAATCGTTGGTTGTCCCGGCCTGTCAGGACCATCGGCCTGGTCCGCCCGTGTGTACTTTAGTGCCTAAACAACACAACGCTGCCCTGTCACCACTGATTAATCCCACCGCTGACAACTGTAATCGCCAGCCTTGTGGTCACACACACACACACACACACACACACACACACACACACACAATCAGTAGCCGTTGCACAACAGATAGGCCTACTTCATGTAACCAGGCAGCACGGTATATTTACTGGGAGAAAACTTTTGAGAGGCGTCACTATTTTAGTTTTTTTAGTTTCAGCAGTTCTGTCTTTCAGGTTCAGAATGGAGATTTGTGTGTGAATGTGCACATAATCATCTTCATCTACACACTGAGCCTCCAGTTTCTCCTTATATGTGTGTGTGTGTGTGTGTGTGCACGGAGGCTTTATTGTGGCAATTTCCTCTTGGCATCGCCCCCCGACTGATGGACACCTCCTGTGTTCTGCGTCTCTCCTTATCGCTGCAGATCTATATTAAACAGCGCAGCGGAACCAGCGTATCCCTCCGCCTCGGCTGTACCTGCCATCTCCGCATCAGGTGTCTATCGACCTGCAGCTCATCTTACCCCCCCCCCCCATGAACTCATATCTCCGCCTGTGTTCTGTCTCATATTGGTGTGGGAAAGCCATCTGTGTCTGTGTGCTGCTCTGTCGTCCTCAGGAATCCCTCCTTTGGCCGTTTGCACTGTGACACCCCTTCACGTGACCTCATGCTTCATGCACGCCCGTCACACTAATCCCTCCAGGTCATTTGGGCTTCAGCAGCTGTGCTTGACATATCTTTCAACTCTCTTTCTGTCTGCCGGCGCTCACTTCTCCATGTAAATGTGTTTTGACAGCGATCCAGAGGGTCAATCTTTTTTTTCTTTCTTTTTTTCTGACAGAAGAATTGTGGCATTTACCTCTCCAACTCTCCCTGCTGCCCCCCGCACACACTCTCCCCCCGACTACCCAGCCTCTCTACAGATCCCCTGATAGGGATGCTGCCTCTGAAGAACAGGAAATGAAACCCCCCCCCCCACTCCGATCTGCCGCTCCCGGGCTTTATCACGCAGAAACCTCCATTCCCAGCAGTGGCTGTCTCTCACTCCCCTAATGAACTCATTTTGCACCGACGGAGAAAACCATCTTATCTCTGCAGAGGAGGCGCCTCCCTCCTCTCCCTCTCTCCCTCCTCTCCCTCTCTCCCTCCTCTCCATCTTCTCCCTCCTCTCCCTCTCTCCTCTCCTCTGCAATGCCGGCTTCACCTGCCTTCTTAGTCCATATAATTGTTGGCAAGATACAGCGAGAGGTCTTCGATCTGTTTTCTCCTCATCACAGATGAGGAGAGAGTGAAAGTAATTTTTACAAAGATTAAATGCAGTTCAGTCATTGATGTGAATGCACAATACAACAACGTATTTTAAAACTTTCCAATGAACATCGCGTGGCGACAAAGCACAAAAAACTGCCTGTGGCAGCGTAGTGAGAGAACAGGAGGGTCCGGGGACATGGGGGACACGTGGGGCACGATGGACAGGGTCAAGACGAATGGAACCACAAAAAACAACTGCATTACACTAAATTGCTAATAACAGTTTTTCTGTTAAAGAGCTAAAATGTGACAATAGCCCCTCAACCCCCCCCCCCCCCCCCCCATTATTAAGACAACATGTCTAATATAAGAGAAAAAAAACACCCAGTTGAACATCTTGGGTAAAAAAAAAGCATTTTAAATCCAGAGCCCCGGTCCCTGGAGTAGGATGATTTTAATGTGGTCATATCCCCCCCTGTTGGTTTTAAGGAGTATCATCAGACTGAGAACAGCTTGTTTTGAAGAAAGCTGACCACTGGGGGAGGGAGGGACTGGGGGGGGGGGGTGTTGTCCGGGACTTTTCGTTTCGTTGTGCATTTATACTTTGCACGTTAAACTGTAACAGAGAAAATGTGATATTTTAACTTCCCAGACACGTGCACACAAACAGATCCACTCAATCTCTTTTGAGATCGAAGAGCTTTAATTACAAGGAGGATCTGTCTCGACACTAAGACCCCTGAATTACAATTATCTCCTACTATAATCCTAATCCTTCTCTGTCTCTGTCTCTCAATCTCACTTTCTCTTTCTCCTCTCCGTTTTTTTTTTTTTTTTAACACAAGCTTATTGGATGATCAATAAAAAGGAAGGATGGGGAGGAATAGGCCGTGACCCACATAATGCAATGAAGTGAATCCAAATGATCACCATGTAGACCTCACCTTCACACCCAGCCGCACCTTCCTCTCAACAGTCACAGCATTGTTTGCTTGTTTACACACATAAGGCAAACAGAAACCATTTTAGAGTTATAGTTAAGTATGTTTATACTGTGATTTATTATGATGCCACACTGCATTTCGTTGCTCTTTAATCTAATCTAATCTAGTAGAGTCACCCATTTATTTGTATTATCAGCCGTTTAATTGATCAATTGGAGACCTTTGCATGAATGCAGGTGTGTATTCAATGGGCCAACAGTTTGAACGCTGGTTGTAAGTGTTGCGCATGCGCAGGACACCAGCACGGCGGCCTTGTGTTAAGCTAAAATTGCAACACAATAATGGAGCGCTATGAGAAATATCTGTCAAAGTAAAGGCCTAGAAACTTCCGCTGTCAAAGACAGGGTGGATAATTCACAGCAAGGGCCCTATAAATACAAATCTCATTTAAATCCAATGTATATAGTTACAATCGTAATCATCTAATAAAATGTTTTGGGTTACTTCAACACTTCCGGAATACACGCTTTTATTTTGAAAAAAAGGTAAAGCCAGGATGTCCGCATGGATTCTGTTTAGCTTGACGCAAAAAGGGTCAATCTACCAACGACCGGAGGAATGACACCGTGAGCTCCGCGTACCGCACGCTAGTCGCTGCCCCCTAAAGATGCCCGGTAGCCCGGTGCTGCCCTCCGCGAGGTGACCGAGGTCCCGAGCAGCAGCGGCGGCCGGTGATGGCGCTGGTCACCGTCCAGCGGTCGCCGACACCGAGCACCACCTCCAGCCCCAGCGTGTCCGTAAGTACCCGCGGACCCGTTTGACACATCGGGCTCACCTCCAGTTTCACCGGTCCGCCGCCGGTGCGGAGAGGCTCCCGTTAGCCGCCCCCCCCCCCGGTCCCTCCGGTCCCTCCGGTCGCCACAGCTCGGTGCTCGCGTTCACGGGGCGGCTAACTTACTAGCTGTTAGCATCACACTCTTAAAAGTAGCCGCGAGCCGACCCGCGGGGGCGCGCGAGGTCTTCCGAGCTTCTGCGCCCGTTGCAAACTTCGCTTAACTCTCGCTCATCCGGATGACGTAACGTTAAACGTTTAGGACTGTTAACTCAGTTCCTCTCTCAAAGAATCCGCTCAGACAAACTGAGCCTTTTTTTGTATAAAAAGAAGCTTCAATTAGCTGTAAAATCAGTTTTGTTTTTTATTCTCTGATTATGCACGTGGGGTGCGCTGCCCGTCAGCCCCACGTCTACTGACGGTGGATGGAGGATGGAGAGGGTCAGTGGGACAGGCCTGGAAGGGGTCCTCTTGACCCCGACCAGAGCGGGGCGACGCTGTTGACCTCCATAGATGAGGTCCTTCACCCGAGGAAGATGCTATCGGACACAGCTGGGCTGATGTTGACCAGTCTTGTCGGACTTGGAACGTCCCCGGAAAGACCCCGGCCTCACGCGGCCGGACGATCTGAGCCTCAGTGCTGTGCAGCGTCTGACCGGGTTCCACGTTGGCCAGGCAGCAAAGTGTTTGAAAAGCATCCCTCATTGTGCCCACAAAATATTTCAAATAGTTAGCGAGCGCGATCATTGAAATGTCTTCAGCGGGCCTTGATGCCACTGAGCTTTCTATCAGTTTGTTACGGCTTTGGGAGACGCTTGCGCTCGTGTCCAGTCTGCGGAAGATCGAAGCAACGCCGCATTCACGTCACAAGAATTATGGATCCCGGGCTCAGGGTACCAGCTGCTTGTCATGAGACCCGTTCCTGATGGGAGGCAGCCACGTGAGAGCTCTTGTGAGATGATGCTGAGGGGAGGAGAGGAGAGGAGAGGGGGGGGGGGGCAGCAGAGCTTTATCTGAGAATGAGCTCCCAAAAAAAAGAGAGTCAACAGTCATGGGAGGCACAGCTGGAATGCTCGTTGTCACTTCAGCACATCTGTGATGGGCTTTCTGTCTCCTTTTAATGCGTCCTCCTAATCCTTCGAACGGCGCCTGTTTGGCTTATCGTGCTTCGGTTTCATATTATTGACCCGTC